CCCTGACACAGCAGACAGACGGACCCCTGACACAGCAGACAGACGGACCCCTGACACAGCAGATGGACCCCTGACACTGCAACCACAGCTGCTGACCAGATGTCACAAGCCAATCATAAAATGATTCCTATACTAGTAAGGGTCAACACCCAATCACCTCAGAGTACCCTTGACCACAGCTGGAATGCCCCTAAGCCTGCTTAAAAGGAGCCTCCAGCTTCTCTCAGGATCGCCATTTGTCAGATGGTTTGACCCCAGCATGCTGGAATTTTTTATTAAACTCTCTTGCTAATTCCAAACATGACTGGTGGTCTTTTGTAGCCAGAAGTTTCTCCGGTCCTACCTGGCCCAGAGGTCGGGACAAATCTCTCCACCTGCGTCCCTTAGCCGCTTGGTCCCAAGTAAACACACAGAGGCTTATATTATTTACAAACTGTATGGCCTGTTGGCTCAGGCTCCTCACTAGCTAGCTCTTACAACTGAACTCAGCCTGTTCCTATTAACCTGTGCATTGCCACATGGCTTCGTGCCCTACAGGCACTTTCACAGCTTGCTTCTCCTGGCTGTGGCTGGCAGTGTCTGCCCCACTCTCCTTTTCTCTGCTCTCTCTCCAGTTCAAACGTACGGCAGAACCTTATTCTGCCTCACCATTGGCCAAACAGATTTGTTTATCAACCAATCAAGGCAACACATACTCACAGCCTACGGAAAGACATCCCTCAGCAGTCCTTTATGGGACTTCTCTCGGACCCTAACACTCTGTATGTTGTGTAGCAGTTTCCTCAGAGACAAACCTCCAGCTTCGGGGGAAGTACATTAAGCTCAGGAAGTCAACGACTTAGAGGCTCCAGGAAGTCTCTGAAATTGACTAGTGACTCTAGCTAGGCTTCTCCCTCCCCAAGGTTATAAAAGCACCAAGAACTGAGTGGCCTCTGGAAGAGGCAGAACAGTCTGCCACCTAGAAAGACTCTCAGACAAGTGGAGCTGCCTAGAAACGAGAGCTCCGCCGAGCGAGCGGCTTTAAAGAAACAGAGTTCAGTCAAACTACCTGGAAGAAGAGACCAGCTGAACTGCCTAGAAGAGACGGAGACCAAATCAGCTACCTGGAAAAGGGCCCTTTCTCCAACCTGCAGAGCTGCCTGCAGGCTGTGCAGGATTTCCAGCTCATCTGAGCGTCACCTAGGCTGGGGCCAGCTTTCAGTGATGCAACTGTCTCTAAGTCATTTCTGCACCCACATTCTTATAAATATCCCCAATTAAACTCCTTGGCTCATCAAGTTGGACTTCGGTGGTATCCTCCCTTTAATCTGTCATTGGTTCCCCATCTGGGGTGAGCAGACATTCGTTCATGTCTCCCCACAAATAGTGTCACACAATATTTTTTTTCTCTGTCTCGTTTAGAATGCAAACTTAAGTTTGGTATCCGTGCCCATATTTACAGACATTTACCTGGTAAGAACGGAACAAAGTAACCACGCTCTACACACGGCAATAGGCGTTTTCCCAGCCCGTGTTTATCTGCTGCCACAGAAAGGAAAGTAGTCTTGTTGTCGTCAAATGACACACTGGAAGCAGTGCAAAGGTCAGGTGCTATTGACCCTAGAACATAAGCCACTTCTGGAAGAGTCAAGGTACGAAAACAAGTTCCATGGGCCAGGTCTTTGTTAACTGTGTATATACTGCACTTTTACCAGATTTCTATGCATTTTGGAAGTACAACTGCTTGTGAATTTAACTCATTAAAGTTCCATTTGTGTATATATATTTATAAACTTCATTAGGAAAAAAACTTTCAAATAATAAAAACATCACACACCAAAATTAACCCAATTCAAAGTCTATACAACTTAATGAAATTTATATAGTTAGAATTGGCATTGAAATAGAAACTGTGAAACAGCATATTAAATTTCCCATTTTCAGTATTGAATATATTTGATATGCTCATCCACCACCAAAAAGGAAGAATTCAGAACAGAATTAGTACTAGAAAAATAGCTAGCTTTATATCCTCCTTCACAACTCATGTCCATTACCTACAATGTCAAGAAGAAATAAACCTCATACTCTCTCATATGTGGAATCTAGCCAGTAATATGTGCATATATGTAAACAAATACACATGTTGGTACAGCATAGCATTAGAGAAAAAGAAAAGCAACTCTGGGGGAAGGAGGACTGGATGAGTGTAATGGACATATATTCTAATGGCATCAGTAGTGAGTCCTCCAAATGGCTCATATGATATCCAAAGAAAGTTCAAGTCTCACAGTCTACAGTGCTATGACAGCCTTCAAGTCATGTCTCCAGCTTATGCAGCCAGTTAGAGGCAGTTCAACACATTTCTATCAAAAATTCAACCAATTAACCATACCACAGTATTTGCCCCTCACCCATCCTCAGTGTCAAACACTCACCCCATGCTCCTTAGCTGCCATGACAACTCTCAGGAGAACGTCTTCCTCCACAAAAGGTCTCACGGCATCGTGGATAATCACCACTTCTGGCTTAGTGAGTTTACAGTCTGGCTGATCCTCTGCCAGGGCTTTCAGTCCACTGAAAATCGACCTGTGGCGCGTGGCTCCGGCCTCAGCTAGTGAGATGCGCTTGTGCCCGTACCTCTGGATGATGTTCCTCATTGCTTCCATGTTCTCCCCTGTCACTGCCACAACAATGTCCTTTATCCAGCATACTCTACAAAGAAAGCATGTGTGCATTTAATAGACACGGACTCTAAAGCTCATAAAAGAAAACTGCATCCCAGTATAAATAAGCTAGCAATCTATCTACATTGGGAGATTATTCCTGAAGGCTCAGTTGTCACACGTTTTGATTAGGTCTAGGAATCAGTAAGCATTTCACACTATCAATGGGGGAGATTTTTCACACTCTATGTGTCTTACATGGCATGGTAGATAAAGTATGCTATCCTATATATTAGATATATATTAGATTTTTTTCCTTCAATTAAATTTGAACAAATAGTATATCTGTAAGTTATCTAAGAAAACACACAAAAGAAGATGCTTTTACATTTATATTTTTCCTACTATTTTCTCCCACAGTGTGAGAACTCAACACTACTGAGTTCTACCAGCTGACTATCTCAAGATGATCCATGAGCTACAACCAACCACTCCCCTGTGAAAATTAAGTATCTGCCCTCACACAGTCCTCCCTCAGACTGAACACAGTCCTTACTGACCGGCCTCACACAGCCCCCCACACACACACACTGAACACAGTCCATACTGACGGGCCTCACACAGCCCCCCCCAGACTGAACACAGTCCTTACTGACCGGCCTCACACAGCCCCCCTCCCCAGACTGAACACAGTCAATACTGACAGGCCTCACACAGCTCCCCCAGACTGAACACAGTCCATACTGACAGGCCTCACACAGCCCCCCTCCCCAGACTGAACACAGTCCATACTGAAGGGCCTCACACAGCCCCCCTCCCCAGACTGAACACAGTCAATACTGACAGGCCTCACACAGCCCCCCCCAGACTGAACACAGTCCATACTGAAGGGCCTCACACAGCACCCCCCCAGAGTGAACACAGTCCATACTGACGGGCCTCACACAGCCCCCCCAGACTGAACACAGTCCATACTGACAGGCCTCACACAGCCCCCCCCAGACTGAACACAGTCCATACTGACAGGCCTCACACAGCCCCTCCAGACTGAACACAGTCCATACTGACTGGCTCTAGATCAGAAAGGGTGGCAGGCTTATGGACAGTAGTGTTAGCCAGCAAGTGACACTGGGGACCTGCATGCTCCAAGGGCCCCAAACCAAGACAAATGCCTCTGACCCACAGTGTCAATTCTGAGTAAAAGTCATTTAAATTTTCTAAAATTTTATATGCCAACTACAAAAAAGTAATTTAAAATAAGAAAAATTAAACAGAATTATAAGCCAACAAAATCCTATATATTCATGCTAGAAGAGTTAAGTCCTGGAAATACACCAAGTATCAAAACCATGGATAACAAGAAAAGCACTTAACATGTATTATGCAGTTCTCATTTTTTAACTTGTAGGATAGTCATGTAATACCTCTATACCATCTCTGAAAGAGGTACTTTTCAGAAGACATGATAATTAATATAATTTAATTATATATAATTAATATAATAATTTATATTATAATTAATGTAATATACTTCTATAATTTATGTGATAGATTCATATAATGTCTTTACTATCTTTCATAGTATAAAATATATACCTCTGTATTTCTGTTTTATTCAAAATGAATAAAGATAGGAAGATGCCATTTCTTCATTGATAATACAATGTTCCTTTTTTGGTGTTTTTTGTTTTGTTTTGTGTTTTGTTTTATATAATTCATCTTCTGGAGTATACGCCCCATAGCAACACATATCTGTCTTGTTTTACACAAAACTCTTATGCAAGTGTTTATTAGATGAATAAACTGCCCACAGTGTAACATCTTAGAACACTTGTGGGCTGGTTTCCTTGATTTTAACCTTAGATTCTAAGTAAGAGGTACTCAATTATTTTTACATTTTACCAGACATTTCAAAATGACTTTAATGATAAAAATGACGCAATAACAGGATGCCCATGAGCAATCTGTACTCTTTATAAGTGATAAAGACTCCAGAATGAGATCACTTGTAAATTGTTCCTTGGTTTGCTTAGCCCATCCCCCACACCAATCTCATTCTTGACAACTCTAGAATTTACCCTATCCTAGGAGTGTGGGAATTATGCTGTTCACAAAGATTCTAGCAACTGGCAAATCACCACCCTTCGGTCCTGCCTCACTGGGGAGTTCTGAAAGGTGTTGGCTCAACTCCCACAGCTGTGATCCATTATTCTTTCTTGCAGTCTCTTATGTCCAATCCTTAATGGGGTTCTGAACTGTCTCATCTTATCCCAACACAATCTACTCTGGCTACTTCTGGATGATCCCTCTCATGGTCAAACCCTAGGGCCATGCTACTGGCCTCTGTAGACCTTACTGCCTCTTCCAGGCCCCTAACACACAGGCCTCCCCTCTGCCACAACCCTCTCACTTTCCCGCCTAGCTGCTTCCTGAAGGGAGAGTACCGTGGTCCGGGTCGAAATGCACCCACAGGCTCATGTATTTGAACATTTGGTCCTCAGCTGATGGGCTACTTAAAGACATCATGGAACCTTTAGGGCAAGACGCAGGGCTAGCGCTCGTGGGTCCCCAGGCTTCTGAAGGTTGAAACCAAGCCAGCGACCAGCCTACATCCTCGGCTTTCAGGTCAGCCCCCGACCCGCTCCCACTGTCTTCCCCGCCGTCAGAGTAGAGCTCCTCCTCCGTTAAGCTGATCCTCTCACAGTGAGGAGAAAACCGAGAGAGGGGAGCAGTCCCCTTACAAGCGTCCCCTGTATTGTTCTGGTTTCTCCATACTGCCCTCCCACTCTCCCATCAGGCTAACCCAAATCTGGGCCTTCCTTGCTCTCCAGCTGCAGACACGAGCCCAACCCAGGAAAGCTCCTTTGACTGCACAGCTGGGTGCCACCTCGGTACCTTCCACTTACAAAGAACTCATCCCCAAAGATTACTAAAACCATGCTGCAGTCTGAAATGTTCTCTCTGCTCTCAGAAAGACTACATCCCAGAACCTGGCACATATTTTACTTTCAATAATATTAGTTACAGAAACAGCTAAAAATGTGGAATCTTTGCTAGCTCCTGTGGGCTGTGTTTAGAATTTTACATGCACTATATCAGTACCCAGCTCTTTAGGATAAATTGCTACGGTCTCGATTTTACTTTTGAGGTCACAGTGATAATGACCTGCCCACAACCACACCAATAGAAAATGAAGGGATTGGGCTAAACTCAAACCGACTTTGGAGCTTACACCATTAACCTATATAAATGTACCAACACTGTCTCAGAGGAAGGTGTGACATCTAAGAGAGGAAAAAGTCATTCTGGACCATTCTGCATCTAACACTTCATTATTGTTACCAGGCTAAAACATGTGGCTTTGCGGCTTCTACAGTAAACAGTCAATTTCCTGTAATTCCTAATGACTCCAACAAAGGAAAGTATCCCTTTATCCATGTATTTACTGGGACATTGAACAAATGTCAACCAAGCATCTGGCACATGCCCTCGCCTATGCATTATTATCACACACCATAAGTTAATAAATATTTGCTAACTGACCAAGGACAATGCTTGAATAATTAGGTAAAAATGCTTTTAAGAAATTATTTAGCCAGGGGTGAGGTGGTGCACGTCTTAATCCCAGCACTCTGGCAAAGGCAGGAGGATCTACATGAGTTTGAGACTAGCCTGGTCTACAAAGAGAGTTCCAGGACAGCCAGGGCTACAAAGAGAAACCCTGTCTAATTATATAATGTGGTCCCATGTTAACTTCTCTTTTAAAAGGAATTATAATAAATATTCACCTACATCAGTGGCAAGAGATTCACTTGATTCATAAGTGGTTTACCTTTGTTTCTTTCCATTGCATGCTCTTCCAGAGAATTCAGCTGAGATAACTTTAAAGAGTTTAATGAAAAATTACATTTATCTAAAGTATGAAAGAATCAAGAAGAGAAATGAAAGGATAACACATAAGCATTCAAATATCTGTTCCATGATTCCCTCTCTTTCAAATAAAGTAGATGTAATTGTCATAAACAGCTAAACCGCCAGGCAGTGGTGGCGCACACCTTTAATCCCAGCACTTGGGAGGCAGAGCCAGGCGGATCTTTGTGAGTTAGAGGCCAGCCTGGTGTCCAAAGTGAGTTCCAGAAAAGGCACAAAGCTACACAGAGAAACCCTGTCTTGAAAAACCAAAAATAAATAAATAAATAAATAAATAAATAAATAAACAGCTAAACCTGTAGCTTTAGACCATTCCCAGGCAATTATATAAGCTTTATTAAATGTATGAGTGTTTTGCCTGCATACATGTATGTCCACATGCAGTCGAGTGAGACTAGAAGACAGAACAGATGAGTATGAGCTGTGGCACAGGAAACTGAACCGGGTCCTCTGCAAGATCAACAAGTACTCTTAACCACTAAGCCATCTTGCTAGTCCTAACTTTATTAAGTTGAATTTATAGTAGGTCTTGGTTTGTTTTTGCTTTTCTTTGGGGAGGGGTGCTATTGTTGAGATGGTGTCCAATACCAATGGCCCTGGAATGCACAACTGACCCCAAGCTGGTCTCAAGCTCCTGAATTAGCCTCCTGACTGACAGATTTACATATGCGAGTCACCATGCCCAGTTTTACAATGTTTTACACCACTGTTTTTCAAAGCATGCATTTCAGGAATTGCTATATCATGAGAACTTCCATTAAGTTAAATCTCTCCTATCATTGATTAGGTTACATAGAAATGAGAATAGAATTATAGCACGAAAGAGGAGAAAGTCCCCTCAGAAAAGCGATAGTTTAGGAAACATTACTCCATACCACTCAAGAAGGAGTAAGCTTACTATATTATTTTGTTCAACAACCAGGGCCTGCAAGCTTTTGTAAGTACTGTTTGTATTTCAAAGGATTTATTCACATTCTTTTTCAAATCACAGAATTAATTTTTAATTCTATAAAAGACTTTTAATAATGCAAAATCATGAGACTGTAAAAGACCTTAAGTACCTCACACAGTGCGTGCTGAATAAATACTTGCTGAATAGAAGCATCTGGTCTACCTCTGAGCTGAAAACAAGTCCACACCAAACCCCGGCAGCACAATTCCATCAAATCTGCATGATTATTTCCTTCCTAGCACATTCCATAACAAATATAAACCTAGCCCCAAGCTCTATAACACCTACAGACATTTTGAGGAGGAAATATAATATCTCAGAAGTTATTTTCTTCTGGAATAACAAATGTTACAAGCTTACTCTGCTCAGATGGTTTAATAAAGCTGGTTGGGAATAGAACATGTACACAAATTTCTTATTTAAAAACCTGGGGGAAATCAAGCCTTGTTAACACCTACAAAACACTCTCATTCAGGCTGCAGAAATCCTGCCTTAAAGGGGCAGTGGCAGCTGCTGCTCTCAATCAACATGATTGCCTTTGGGGAAACTTGACTCTGAGTTGCATTGTGTAGCCACTGTCTACAGGGTCCCACCTCTTCGTGCCCATTTTGATGATTTAGGACAAAATACCGAGGTAGTGGGTAGACTGGATGCTAATCCCTTAGCAGCAGCAAGTCCTCTAGCTGCCGCTCAGCTCTGTGAGCCTTGGAGCCACTGGTCTTGGCCTGGTTTTGAAGGAATTCTCAAAAGGCAAGGCAACACAGAGCACTGATCATGCAACCTGTACAAAATAGGACAGCCTTGCTTCTTCCCTTCGCTTGGATATGACCTTCTGACTTCATCAAATTGACCTGTCTTTCAACTAGGAGGGTCTTAAGCACCTTCTCTTTCTGAATCACTAAACAGTTCTCACAGCTCGTCTCTCCCATTCATATGATCTCAGTTTAACTCCCATGATCAATATTGCTCATTTACAGAAACATTCCAGGAATTCTCATCTGACCTGCTCTGAAGAATTTGCAGTGGTTTAAGCCAATATTATAGACCAGAACAATTGTGTGTGATTGATATCAGAGGTCAAATTATAATGCTTTGATAAACATGAATCATATCCGAGGAACAAGTTCTCTTAAGAAGGGTCTTCCACCTAAGAGGGCTTAAGAAACCGTAAGAGCTTTAGGACAAGCCAGGTCACAGCCGACCTGACGGGGCAGCCCAGCCCCACCCAAGCATGGCTGAGGTTCACTTCACTGGTTTGGTCTTGTGTAGCTATAATCTTGTCCTCTTCTAAAGCCAGTCCACACTAACCCACACTTCTAATCAACATTTTCTTTCCCCAAGTATTTGAAACCAGAAATCAGACTACTGGTAAGAATTTTTTTTTCCTATGGTCCCCCAGTCACCAAACCCACATTTTGTATCTTAACAACAACGGGAAAAAAAAAAATCAAGCCTTGACCCCTCTGTGAGTCAGCCAGCTGCAGGTTTTTCCCAGCTACTTCAGCCCCTGCCAAGATCTTAAACATCCCCAGGTCTTGGTAAAGCTGTTACACAGCAGAGTGAAAGAAACGGGCCCCAATCCTGAGCTAAAGTTCCCTAAACTATCAACTCCATCCTGTAACCCCCTTATGCAAAACACGGGGAAAGAGAACATCACCCCGCCTCTCCTCTGTCAGGAGGATGAGCAGCGGCACTCTGTCTGTTTCTCAGACTCCACACTGTGCCATCCACTGCTTCCTTCTGTGGAATGTCAACCAGCCCCGCTGCAGATGTGCTCACTCCATTGTCGGAACTGCTCTGCTGTCTATGGGCCTCCCATTCAGTGACTGTGAGGGACAAAACAATTTCCAACTTCAGATCCAGGAAGAACATTCTTCTAAACAGCGAAATTTGGATACCTGAGTTAATGAACTGAGTTGAGCCTCCTGTCGGAACTTAATGCCCCTGACAATAATACTTTGGTCACGTGGCTTCTTGAAACAAAATTTCTTCGTAGAAACTCATGTCACAAAGCAATAGTCACATGAGGGGCTAAGACTCCTGATCTCAGTTCCTTGTCAATCAAATGAAAAAGTAATCAAAGTTCCCTGAGTTATAACCTGTGATAATTTATCCCAATTTCCCTAGTAGGTTATTAGGATTTCAAATTGCTGTAATCAATTAAGCAAAATGGAAAACAAGTGTTCTTTTGCCATATTTTCAATAATATTTTGTTATTTATATCTTATAGTATATTCCATAATATTTTCCAAACACTCTCCTAACATTCTATTACATTAAAAGATTTAAACTTTGGTGTTCACCTAACTCAGGCTACCACGGTACATGCAAAAAAGCCAATTAATATGAAGCATTTCCCGTGTAAAGAGAAGGTAAATGAAGAAAACACCTACAACTTCCTTCATATAACTACCAAGCAGTCAGAGATTCTCCTGCCAGCGTCCATCGCAAGCCATCCCGTGGCGGGCAGAGATGCCGCAAGCCATCCCATGGATGCGGTGGTGCCAGCGTGTCTATGGTGCTAGACCTCTGAAGGTGTGTGGTATTGACAGGATGGCTGTACGAAGCAGTCTCCGTATTATCCAGAGGAATAAAAGCCACAGACAGGGGTGGTAACTTTCGGAATCGTTTCCAGGTCTGACTGAGTTCCAGATCTAACCACTGGCCTGATTACATTAATCAAGGATGATTGCGGCCCCTTACACTTCCATCTGCCAAATGCCAATAATCAGAAAGTAAAATAATCTTATGAGCAATTCCTTTGTCCCTTTGGCTTTCTGGTGTGTGTTGGGGACGGGAGATGGAGTTGCTCTCCGGCACAAAATGCCAAGGACAGTGGTTTCTATGAAAGCCTCCTGTAAAGGTTCCTGATGCTAAACAACGCCCTCTGTCTTGAAATGTAACCACTTCTGGATTTAAGGCCTCACACAGGTCTGCATCTGACTTCAAAAGTAAAGGCCCTGCGGAACTGGAGACCTCTATAATGCTTCCAGTCTCACCTCAGCTCCATCACATCACAACACAAACCACAGGTCCCTCCTTCTCCTCTCACCACGTCTCCGGGGGGCCTTCCTGACACTGCCCACTGTTTCTGGAACTAAAAAATTCAGTCTCTTTTCTAGGGTGGCTTGGCCTCGATCTCACCCTCCAGTCCCTCCGGGCTATTGAAAGCCTGGAATCAACCCTGCCCTGCTCTCTACTGCCTGGTATTAGTCCAGGCCGATCTCCCAGAAGAAAAAACAAAACCAAAAACGTGCCTGCCCAGGGAACTGGAGGTGCGTCCTGGGCACTGGGGCGCACGCATGCGCGGCGGCAGCGCGCACCGGGCACTCCTGGAGACGCTCTTCCTGCAGCCCCGCGGGGCCGGCGTAGGAACCGAGTCCCCGGGCCCTGTGCACTGCTTAGTCGGCTCCCCAGCCCGGTCCCCGCCGCGCCTGCTGGGGTGGGCCCGGGTTCGGGGGAGCGGGGCCCCGCGCCAGTTACCTCTCCAGGGCCTGCAGGGTGTAGCTGATGAGCGGCCTCTCCAGAACGCGGCAGAACTGCTTCGGGGTGCGGACGCCCATCCTCTCCCCGCAGCCCCCGGCCGGCAGCACGGCGGCCACGGCTGTGGGCCGACTCCCGGGCTCGGCCCCGGCGGCCGACACCCGGGACGCCGGGAACGCTGAGCCCGCGCTCGGCGAGCCGCTCACGCAACGCCCCGGCTCAGCGGGCCTGCTGTGCGGCCCCAGCTCCATGACTCGAGCAGAGCTCTGAACCCCGCGGTGCAGGCGGGAACCGAGAAGGGGGCGCCAACACCAGCCCTGGGCCGCGATCGCGGGTCGGGGTGGGCGAGGAGCGGCGCCGAGAAGGGGAAGGTGGGCCCCGGGGCTGATCCCCGCGGGAGCGGCCGAGCCTGTCTTCCCCGCCCGGGCCCAGCGCCCCAGGCAGCGAGCGCTCTTCCTGCTCTTCCCTCTCTCCCTCCCGGCAGGCCCAGCTGAGACTTCGGTAGCAGTCCTTACACAAGTGATGGCCACACACAGGCAGCTGGGCACGACACAGTCACTGTCCCCATTCTAGATAAGTGGGAAAGATCTGTGTTCAAGTTACAGTACAAAACCCAGATGTGTGCACCTCGGTTATAGGAATTTCGATATCCGCAAATGCGCACTGATTCTACCAAGCAGTCAGGTGCATGGGATAGGAGAAGTCTAGAACCCAGACTGATTCCCAGACCTGCCTGCACGATGGAACCACGGAGCAGAGTGTCTCTGAACCCTGTGTTCCATGATCAAAATTTGGCATTTGATTGGTCTAGTGTGCAGCCAAAGGCTGTGGGACGTTTTCAAAGTTGCAAAGGTGATCCTGTTAAGCAAGTGCGTTTTTGTTGTGACCAGAGAACGACAGCAATCACAGTAACTGCTGAATAACCAACACACATCTCATGTTAACAAGAAAAACCCTAGTGGTCATATTCCTTGACGGGGGAAATAAAAATGCTAAGTAACTTGTGTAAGACTGCACAGGCAGCCATAAATCCTTTGTTTATTTAGAGGTGCAAACCAGCGTTGAGACATTCCAGCCTGCTTCGCATCTTGCCATTATTTGGAAAGTGTTCATGAAATATAATGGAGTGTCAAGCACTATTGTATTCAGGAATCTGGAATGTAAAATTCATGAGAGCAAGGACTAGCTTTGCTTTGGTTTGGGTTGTATGCCCAGCTCCAGGAATGCCTAATACTTACTGAATGAATTGCTGATTGAATATGACAAAGTATATGGAATTATTTGACCATGTATATTATCAATCTTCACCCATCAATAGCTAAATTAAATTCATAAAAAATGTTGAGCATTGAAATTACCCAGTTATAATATTAAATCTCATTATTTTTATCCATTTTGCAAATTAAAAGCATACAAAAATAAATTCCCTGCTCTTGCCCTCTTTTGTCTAATATTCTAAAGCATTTTCTTTTGTTGCTTTCATTGTGGCTAAAGGACAGCTTCTGTGCTAACTGAAGTTTATCGAACTCTTGACCCTGAGATGAAAAGAAAGCATTGTAGTGTACATATTTGTATTGCAATGCTTGGAGGTTTTCTTTCCAGAAACAGAGGTGGGGGAGCAAGGGAGGGAGAGGCTGAGAGACATGAAGAGGGAAATGTGGGGTGGGGAGAGACTGATTCTAGCTGTGAGATCTTTGCTAGGGAGTTAGGTGTTTGGAAGTGTTATAGTTTGCTCACATGAGACACTAGAGAAGGCTCATCTGCTGTGGGATAATGCTCTTGTACACTGGTTTAATAAAATACTGATTGGCCAGTAGCCAGGCAGGAAGTATAGGCAGGATAAGCAGACAAGGAGAATTCTGGGAAGAGGAAGGCTGAGTCAAGAGTCACCAGCCAGACACAGAGGAAGCAAGATGGCAAGGCAGAACTGAGAAAAGGTACCAAGCCACAGGGATAAACATAGGAAAGAACTGTGGGTTAAATTAAGTGTCAGAGCCAGTCAGTAATAAGCCTGAGCTAATGGCTGAGCAATTATAAATAACACAAGCTTCTGAATGATTATTTTATAAGCGGGCCATGGGACTTCAGGGGCCTGGTGGGACCTGAGAAAAACTTCCAACTACAGCTTATGAACTAACAGAAGGATTTTGTTACAGATCCTGGAGAGAAGAGTGCCCATGAAGGTCAACAGCAAGACCACAGACAGCAGAGCACTCAGCGGGTAGAGAGCACCACAGACAGCAGAGCACTCAG